TTATAACCCCTTTCCAAGGGTTATAGAAATTTTGAAATACTCTTTCTCTCCTAAGGTTTTTCCTATTAGGTCCTCTCATCCAAGAAAATGTGGTTGTTACAAGATCTCAATCAAGGAATCAACAATAAGATCAAGAGGTTAGTAAATTTATTGTTTTTCAAAGTAGATTGCTATAAAAAAAATGAACCTAGATCTATTAGTGTGCATGTACACATAAAGTTTTTATAGTGTTTCCGCCGCCAAACTAGTACGTATAGATTGCTAGAAAACACATTAATACCCACGAGTATCAGGTATCCTAGATATGATCTTAATGGTTCAAAATCACCTATTAAAATTTTCATCAGCTAAAACCTGATCATAATCTCGTCTAAAAAATAAATTAAGTTTTTTCATATATTTCACCTTTTAACAAAATCAACAAGGTTAATATCTAACAAATATTACATAAATAAAATATTCATCGTATATAATTTAAATTATATGATTTTCATTATAAACTAATCTAGATCATATCATAACATCATATGATAAAAACAATACCATCAATCTTTTTTTGAGTATGTAGATAGTAATTACATATTTTATTTCTAATATCACACATATAAGATCGGGTAAATAAGAATGAGTAATCGGACGGTTATTAGACTAATACCACATAACTATCTAAAACCCGTGAAATATTTTAGAAAAAAACTCAAACCTTCCAATAACTATTTACCCATCCCACTTACAATTTAAAAGACTAACATGAACCCATTGATACCATTTTGATATATGGATAATGATACGTTAAAGTAAATGACGCAGAAATTTATCCAGGAAATGCGATTCGGTGTTTAGATGGAGATGTTAGACGGGTGGGAGCGGGCAACGGGAAGACACGTTATTCCGACGTGACATCCAAATAACGCCGGTATAACGGGCGGAACACCGCCCCCGGTCCCCATTATTCAGCGTTTGGGTGGTAACGAGACGAAACACATGTTAACGGTCTATTTTTCGACCGTTGTGGAACGGTCACGAATTAAAAAAAATCATTTTAATTCCAATATATATATATATATATATATATATATATATATATATATATATATATATATATATATTAACTTCAAATTGTTAAATACAAAATTCATCAAATTCTCTCAAATACACATCTCTATCAAGTTTATTACCTTTTCTATTTTTCTATTTACAAAAAAATAGATTATTTTGATCCGTTCCATCCATACAACGATGATAATGACGACGATGATATATTTGTGAGTATGATGTATCAATATTCCAAATGAATGAGAGGTAAACGAGATTTTACAGGGTTGCAAAAATGTATTGTTACAATCAAGCTTATGACTATGGGGGAGTCGCCCGATTCCATTGGTAACTATATGAAAATGTCAGAGCGAACTGCACGAGAAAGTTTGTATAAATTGGCGAGAGGTGTTATCGAAACCTTCAGTGACAAATACTTGCACAAACCTTCATTGAATGACATGCAACAACTATATGCGACGCATGAAGAACGACATGGTTTTTCAGGTATGCTTGGAAGCATTGATTGCACAAAGTGGATATGGACAAATTGTCTTGTGGCGTGGAAATGTCAATACACAAGTGGTCATCTTGGATCACCTTCCTTGGTATTAGAGGTTGTTGCTTCACAAGACTTATGGATTTAGCATGTTTTTTTTGGAGTTGCGGGTTCTAACAACGACGTAAACGTTCTTGATCAGTCACCAATATTTCAGGACTTGTTGACAGGAAAGACGCTGAATGCTCCTTTCACAGTGAATGGCCATAAGTATAAGTTTGGGTATTACCTCACGTTCCACATTTGTGAAGGCCTTTCGACACCCGATAGAACCAAGAGACAAATTTTTCAAGAGAAGACAAGAAGGAGCACGTAAGGACGTGGAACGTGCTTTCGGAATTCTGAAAACAAAATGGCACATAGTTGAACATGCGACATGACTATATGAGTTGGACACTCTACTAGATATTATGTATGTATCATAATGCATAACATGGTGATTGAAGATAAAGGACGAAACATTGCAGAGTATTCGGCTACGAAACCAAGACACATTCAATTTCAATCAGGGACAACAGAATACTTACATAGAGTCGTTGACATTCAAGACCAACGAAGACACAAACAACTTGGAGAAAACTTGGCAGATCATATCTACGATTGTACTGAAGATTAATAATTTAGGTCAAAAAATATATTTTTCTCATTTTTTTTTGTTTTTAGGTTTTAAATGGTTTTGTCTTTTGTTGTATTTTTTTTAATGTTGTTTTTAATTTAGGATTATTAAAATTTTATTTTTACTTTTTAAATGTTATTTTTAATTTATGATTTCATTTATATGATAATTATAAATATTATGACATAAATAAAAAACAAATTGGAAATATAGAAATTAAAAATACAAAAAAAATAAAAATAAGGGGTGTTATCACATGTTATTTGGTATTGTCCATTTCCATATTGAACATATGACTAGGATTATAATGTAACAATTTTCGACATCAATAGCATGCAATAAAAGGAATAATAAAAACACACTTTTTGATTATTATTTTTACACATGGGTCAAGTGTGTGGACCAAAAGGCAAAAGAGCACGGTGAAACGGGCCAAGAAGAAGAAATAAAATGTTCCTTCTCCTGACACCCTCCACCTGGAGACTAGAGTAGGTATATACAACATCTGTCTTCTTGCTCTTGCACTTTATGTATTCCCCAAAATACCCTTTTCTTCTTCCCATTATCTATCTTGTCAATAAAAGTTACCCATTTTAAATAAATTACCGCTGCGATCATTTTTACCTTTTTGACCCTTATTTCGAATATATGATGTATTAGAATAGAAATGATCATTTATCTATGAAAAAACATCATAAATGGTCCCTGTGGTTACCCAAAATCTGAAGTTTAGTCCCCGTGGTTTAAAAACCTCGTAGATGGTCCCTGTGTTTTCAAAACTTTTGACGATTAGTCCTTATTGCTAACTCCGTTAACTTTTGTCCGTTAATTGAAGCATTTTCGTCATTTCACACCACAAGGACCATTTATGATCTTTTCAGTTATTTTTTTAAAAAAAGAAAAAACTAAATATAATTATTTAATATATAATCTCTCTCTCTCTCTCTCTCTCTCTCTCTCTCTCTCTCTCTCCACTGGTTCAATCAGTTTCAACTAATTACATCGTTCATCCTCATTCCCAATCTTATGCTTCACTCCTCTATTGTCAAACTTGAATTCCATCCCTTTGCCTTCTAGGAGCTTGTATCGTTGTAGGTATTAAGCGCCAGGACCTGTTAGGGATTTTAGTTGAAAACGATGTCAGTAGTGACGGTGAGGATGAAGGCTAGGGTTCCGACAACTTCAGGCGATGCATAAAATCAATGGATCTCATCTGAATCTGAAGATGATAGCCGATAGATCGCCCCTAATTCTCATTTATTGAAGATCGTTTTTGCCATCGAAGGAACTCAACCATTGAAGATCGAAACATAAATCTCGTCTGTTGCATAAGTCCATCACCCCCTTTCGAGTCTGCTCTCGATCAATAACGATCAGGCTCATTTTTTATTTCTAAATATGAAGATGCTCTGGCCTCGTTTTGTGGTTTCTTCTTACAACCTCGTGTCTGTCTCCCCATCCAGGTTCCATACATTTTTGAGGTTTGAAAAGGGTAGTTCATAATGGGGGCAAATCAAAATGGAGATGGGGATTACCGAAGCAGAGAGGGGAGTAGGGGTGGAGAGGGCTATTTACCTAGATTTGGACCTGCAAGACGAGAAAGATACTAGAGGAACAGAGAGAAAAGGGTAGTGAGGGTGGGTGTGGGGTTAAACCCTTCTAAGATCATCCCTTTCTCGAATAACTACGATCAAGCCTTCCAAAAGATATGATAACCAATTGATTTTTGATTCATTTGTTTCTACTCCTAATCTGCTTAATGCAAACATGTTGATTGGTGCTGAGATTTCTTTCCCCTGATTTCTGGCTTTTGAATCCGTAAGAAAGAAGGTGTGTATTTGTTTTGAATTTGGTTTGAATCTTTATAAAAAAAATCATCTTTGTATGGATGTGTATGAATCTGGAAAAGAGATAGGACGTGCACTTGTATTGAATTTGGTTTGAATCTTTATACCACCACCACCCGTTAACACCCGGTAACACCACCATCTGATGAAGATTCGATTGTGTTTTCCGGAGAGAGAGAGAGAGAGAGAGAGAGAGAGAGAGAGAGAGAGATTTTATATATTAAATAATTATATTTAGTTTTTTCTTTTTTTAAAAAAAATAACTGAAAAGATCATAAATGGTCCCTGTGGTGTGAAATGACGAAAATGCCCCTCAATTAACGGACAAAAGTTAACGGAGTTAGCAATAAGGACCAATCGTCAAAAGTTTTGAAAACACAGGGACCATCTATGAGGTTTTTAAACCATGGGGACTAAACTTCAGATTTTGGATAACCACAAGGACCATTTATGATGTTTTTTCTTTATCTATATGATTAAACAATATCTTTTTCCTTAAAATGAATTTTAATTTTCTGTTTTAACATATTATACACATATCATATCATATAGGCAAATAAAAAGACATTTAAAAACTTAGATATTATTTTAGAAAGTAATATGATACTATATATAATACTATGTAGACATATGAAAAACCATGTTATTTTTTCACACATATTAAACCGGAAATGAGGGAAATAAGGTTACAGTGATTAGTGAACATTTCTTACCGAAATAAAATATAATAATTAAACCACAAAATTACAAAATATAAGTTACTCGTTTTTTTAACTGATGAAATTTGTCTTTCTTTTACTAAATCGATTATATTTTCTCAAATAAAGTGATTAGTGAACATTTATTTCTTTTACTAAATCGATTATATTTTCTCAAATTTTGATATGAAACCTATAAAATGATAACATCCCCTTAATCGAGAAATTGAATTACGTGTGTCCTACTAAATCTTGTATTGTGTAGAGTTATTTCCCAAGACACAAACCCCACCAACCTATGCATTGAATACTCTTCCCTCATGGTGCTTTAAATGTATAACAGTTTTTGCAATAAATATTATGCACAAATCTAACCAAACCTTCTCTTCCTTTCCTTCTTCATTTCAAGACCATAACTACATGGTAGTCTTTAAGAAACAAGAGCATTTCTTTTTATCTGTGTGTATAAGATCATAAGTTCAAATCTTATATTGATCAAATATATAAAGTAATGGAAGAGGAAAGAGTTGAATCTGTGTATCATAGTGGATATGGTAACCCTTGTAGGTATTTACAACAAGTTTTAAACGGCTTTTTGAGGTGTTTGGGGTTAGAAAGAAGCGTCGGTGGTGGTGGTGGTAGCAAAGAAGAAGGTGGTGGGGGAGGTGGTGATGGTGGAGGAGAGATGGATGATCCACTCACAACACCCATTTCTGATGATTCATCGACTATAGATCCTGTCGATGAACCTGCTTCTGCAACCGTAAGTCAAACTCTCAATGATAACTTTATTGCATTCATTATATAATAATTACTTCTTTAGTATTATAGCTTTAATACCATTTTCTTTTGTAATATTGATGTAATCATTGGCTAATGTTTCTTAAAAATTAAAACTGAAAGTAACATTTATGATGACATTGAAGTCGAAATATGCCATCTAATAAATAATAGTGAACGTTATTCAAAAAGATAACTCCTCACTTTGCAAAACCTATGGTGTTCGATTTATCTGTTCTTTGGTTTTTTTTTTTTTTTTTTTTTTTTTTTTTTTTGAAGCTTTGAAGTTCATATTTTTTTGGGATTTTTTTATATATTTTTTGAACTACAGTGTGATCCACTTGCTTGCCTATTACAAATTACCTCAAAATCGAATGGTTATGGTATAATTAATTTTCTATCATAACTTGAACATCATTCATCTTACTACTTTTGCATTTTACTTTTAAGTATATTTTTGCTTCTTGTGATAATATGGATCTTCCATGGGTTATTCGGGTTCAGCCCAATGGAGGCCATGGGAGACATAATGCGTATCAATAATATTAACTGTCAAATCTAATATCATTATTCATATTTTAGCTTTTCACAACTAGCAGAATCCTTTTCACAACTAGCAGACAAATTTGTCTTAATCAATATGCAAAGAAATTAAAGCAAAAATCATGTTTGTTTGTGATTAAAGTACTGTAAATTCTTATCTTTTTCTTCAATGTTTTCATTGAAGAAAGAAAAAAAAATACTGTTTATATAATAATAATAATAATAATAATTATAATAATAATAATAATAGTTTTAACGTTTATTTATGATATATATAATTAAAGCCAAAAAAACCCAAAAAGACAAGGTGTACATGTGGATATGCACAAAGTTTACAATTTTTTCTATTTTTTTTTTAAATTTGATCTTGGAATGCTAAAATATTACAAGTGAGGAAATGAATTGTAACATTCCAAATTTGGAGTATTACTATCCACAACAGCATTTTTATTTAAAGAAAAATTGGAGTTTGATTGGAGATGGTTTACACCATTTTACACCAAAATTTATGTTAAGACCAAAAATGTGTTGGAAATATTCTAATCTCCATCCTCACTTTATTTTCGTTATTACATTCTATTTATAGAGTGTAAAATCAAATAAATGCTTCAACTCTGTTTTATTTTGCACTCTATAAACAGATAAATATAATGACACATGTGAACTATACAATCTCACAACTAATTTTACACTCTAATTTTAGAGTGTAAAAAATAGAATTTAGAGTGAAATGGAAGATGCTCTTAAGATATGTTTGGCAATAAATTTTTAAGATATTTTATAAATTTTTAGTTTTTAGTTTTTAAGAAAAAAACTTGAATTAAAGAGTTTTTTTGTTCATGAGTACGAGCTTAAAGTTTCTATTTTAAGCAAAGTTCTCCTAACTCAAAAGCTATTTAAAGTAGATTTTAATAGTTTTAGGAGTTTTAAGCTTTTATATGTTTTATGTCATTTAAACCTTTAAAAAGTCAATACTTTTGTTGTCGAACATTTCTATGCAAGCATTCTCTAATGGTTAACTTTTTCAAAAATCGTTTTTTAAAATTTCACTATTTTATATTTATATATCTTAATGTTTTATAAAACTCTTTCATACAAATCAACAATTTTAAATGTATATCATATTTATGAAAAAAATGGTTGACACTAATATTCAAATAAAAAATAAAATATTATGCGACTGCATGTTGTTTAATGTGTGACATTTTGAAAAGATTTGACATTTACCTTTTAATGACAAAAATTTTCATATGAATATATTCATTTTTATTTTGGATATTTAATTTATAGATTAACTAATCATTTAATAATTAATCTTGAAATCTAAAGACATCTAGGGTGTAAAATGAAATTTTATTAGATGTATGTGTAAAAGGTACAAAAGATATAAGAGGAATAATTTGTTGGAAATATTAAGTGGTCGAAATGAATCCTTAAAAAACTTCTCTCTAATTGTAAAAAGCTATGGAAAACTTTTTGAAATAGTAGCAAATTTTGTAAAAAAACTTTTATTGGAGATGTTATAAAAATCAACCATATCACCATTAGTCTTCACAAAAGACAACCATTAAGCACTTACCAAAATTTTGAATGTTTACGATAATTCATACACATAATTATTCATTTGGATGTAATTATTTATACTATTGCCCCAAAACGATCATATTTATGTGAATTTCGAAATTTATGGTGTTTTTTTTTGACATTTTGGCCAGAGATTAGCAGCAGGACGTCCTCCGTCAAGAGGTCCAATTAGCTCTGGAGGTTCTGGTCAAACCAACTAGTTCAATCACTCTCGTTCTACATTCCAGTAATATATGCTGCAATTATGGTTTTTTGTTTATTGAAAAATAGAATTTTTATTGTATTGTAGTTATCTTATCTTATATGTACAAAAAAATGTCCCTAACAAGAATAATATCAGTTTCCATTAAACGTCATGTCTTCATATATAGAATCACCACCATCAAGATAACCTAGTGGTGATCACTTGGTATGAAACATTTCAAAATGAAGTTAGACCCATTTTCTAATCCCGCATGCTTCAAGATAACCTAGTGGTGATCTTGCTATAACTTTATGCTGGGAGGATTTGCAAAATATAGTAGCACCACAAGTGTGAATACATATTCACTTCGTGGATCTAGAATCTTTAATATCATATATCCATTTTGTATCACTGAATCTTTCGGGTGTACCTTAAGTACTTAGTGGGTGTTTGGGAGTGCTTTTTAAAATAGCTTATTGATTTTTCAAAAAGTAAAAAGATGTTTGGCAAACAGTAACTTTATAGGCAAAAAATGGTTTTTCCAAAAAGTCAAGAATTTTGTTTTTTCCAAAAAGTCAATAAACAATTTGAGAAGCAATCCCATACATACCCTTAAAAACCCTTAATCATGGCTGGTAGTTGAGGTGTAGACTAGGGAGAGAGAAGGCATAGACTAGTGAGAGGGGAGAGATGGGGGGTTATATAGTTCTGGATTGGATGACAATGGATTAGTTGATCAACCTTCAAATGAAAGATTTTTTAGTTGTGGCGCCTGATCTTCCTTGTGATCACATTACCCCTCAATAGACTAAGCATCATGTCCCACTCCTATTATATAGATGAGTTATGGGCGAGATTCACCAGTTTCCAGGCGTGACCGTATTCATGGTTTATATGTCAACTTAATCCTATATAAAGTCCCTTTATGAATTCGTGTAACCCTAGCTAAGCAAGAAAAGTTGTAATTCAATAGCATAAATAAAATTCCATATTAGAAGTGATGTAAAAAAAGTAAGAATTCTCTAATGTTTAATATGATTGAAAATGAACTTGGAAAATGGCCAATAATATGTAGAATGCAAGTAGAAGTAGATAATTGAAAGGTTCGATGAAAAATGATTGAAATTTAGTAACTTGGGAAATAGAATGTTATTTTGAACGGGTAAATCAAAGTATTGAAGAAGACCAAAAACATGAGTAATATGTCTCATTGTTATATCATATCCTTCCTAATAAACAAAAAACTTTTTTGCCACATGTCATTCTCTAATGAGTTTTGACACTTGTCATTTTGTGATAATTATTAAATAAATAATATCCACATGTCAATTTATGGTTTTTTCTAATTTTTAAAATTAAAAAGTCACATAATACTTATAGTTATATATGTAAAGTATCAAATGTAATAAATATTATATTAAATTGCAATTAATATGTTTCTTCATTCTTTATTTTAAAATTTTATTTTAAAAATACTTATTATTTACATTTTAATGTTTTGTTTTTTTTAATCAACCCATGTAATACATGAGTTTTACACCTACTTATGTAATAAAGAAAGAAATATCAAAATCTTGGTAAAAAATAGTTAAATTGCTCAAGTGTAAATGATCAAAAACATTGTCGTTAAAATGAAATTTTATATTTTTGACACATACGTATGCATATGAATATGAAATAAAATTGGCATGGTATTTATATATTGTTGGAAACCTATCCAATTATATGGAAAATGATAATTTAGACAAAATTTTCTATCTTTAGAAAATTTATTGAAATAATTTGCCAAAATAGCGTACACTGTGAAAATGAGGGGAGTTCTGCAATCTAAATATTAGTAGACTTATAAATATATTATAAGAAGAAAGTTTCAAGAAATACATCCTAAAAGTGTCAAAAAAAAATAAGTTAGTTTAAATGGTGTGTTGTAATTTATATTCCACGTCTAACCACTAATGGGAATGTTCTAGTATTGAAATAACAATTGTTAAATCACAACAGAAAATAAAATGACACTTTTTTGGAAAAGATGACTAGTTACTCAAATTTTGGAAAAAGACCAAAAAATAGGTTAAAGGCTTTACGAGACATGCTTAACTAATGAAATGGTTTGAAATAATGTTAGAATGACTAGATAAACAAATTTATTACATGGTTATGAAGTTTAAGCAGATTGCTAAAGTTGTTATTTATGAAATATGAGACTTATATGATATGTAGTACTTCCGTACTTGGAAACCTTTATGCTGTAATTAGTTTAGTAATGTAATGAAATGAAACTATGTGAAAGGCACCTAGATAAAATTACATTCATTTTCAAAGTAAGTTGCCTAGATACGGAAAGTTTGTATAAAATGGTAATTAAAGAATTATGAAATGGACGGTTTAAGTAATGAACACCTAGAAAGAAATGTGAAATGGTTTTGTTAACAATAAATGCATTTGTTCAATATTGAATATGCATGAGACAAGATTGGATTGCAACTAAAGTGGACTTGAGACTAGTTTTCATGTGGATTTTTTCTATTTTTGGTACATGACACAAAGTTATATTATTTTCATTGGATGAGATTTTCTTGAAATATGATATTTTTCTATGATATGTAAAAGCACCTTGTGAATGAATGAATTCATAATGAAAAAAAATGGGTGCCTCTTATGCTTGCGAATAAATGATTCATAATGAAAAAAGGGATGCTTCATCGTGCATATATTAAATATGATTGCATGCAAACAAATTTTAAAATGTCTAAACATTGCATACATGGGGTCAAATGATTTTTTAAAGTAATTGATTTCTCTCATGTTTTAAAGTAAATGCCTTTGCTCAAAAGGTCATGTTTTAAAGTAAATTTCTCTCGGTTCTTTATCATTTTCTGACCATTTTTCATTTCTAATATAAACCTAATTTTTTTTCATACCATAGAAATACGACAAGATTTTAAGCATAGAACCACAATAACTTGCCATTTGAACCAAAGAAAGTTAACGATGAAAAATGATTTTAAAACTAGAGTTGAAACATAAAAAAATCATATCTCACAAATAGACAACATCCAAATCATGTACTTATTATGTCATGTCACTTGAAAAATCTGTTGACTTAGATTCTCTACATCTCACCAAAAATACTTACATCACAAATAACAATAATAATTAATGTTTAATGTTTAATGTTTAATGCAACTTACGGAAAATATTACCAATCCCTGATGCTTTGAGGGACTTTAATTTGGAGAACACAAATCCTGACCTTGGTGGATTTCCATCAATCAGAGAATTCTCATATATTTCCTTGCATTCTTGTACAACCTGATTCTCATATAGTTTTAGTTTTCTTTACCCAAAATAAATAAATAAATAAATAAATAAATACCTCCTTGGCATCCTTCCTTGGTATTCCTTCTCGTAGACTAACAATTTTCTCAACAACTTCAGGCTAAAATCACAAACAACGATAAATTAGCAAAAGTAAAATCACAAAATAAATAAATAAATAATAATTAATAAAATTACCGGGCAATCAGGTTGATGTTCAAGAATATGTGTATAAACAAGAGTGAAGGTATCTGGGCTTTCAGCTGAAGCAAGTTCTCTCAAATCAATTAGTATTCTTAGTCTGTTTTCAACTTTCTGCAAATTTAAAAAATCAATAAAATGAAGATTAATTATATTATATAAACTTTATATATAAAATGACTTACATTAACACTTATGTATTCCCTGAAGAAGTCCATCAGAACCTCTTCATCAAGCCTCATGCGTTCGATTGTTTCCTCCTTGATGTAATTTTTCTAATCAACAATGAATTCACAACGTTAATTTCACATCTTAATTTTTATAAAAAAAAAAAATGGATGATTAATTTTTATTAAAAAAAAAAAACCTGAGACAGCATATGGTCGACATAAACAATGACTGTTTGTTCAAGGCAAGACTCAACAAATCGTCTAAATGATCTTTCTTCAATATACCTGATAATTTTTATTTAAATTTATATAAAAAAAAAAACGTAAGAAATTATGTTCAAAGTAATTTAAAAAATGTTAGAACTGAAAACTTACATTTTCACATCCGTGAAATAATCACCAAATGTTGCGACTAGGTATTCAGTAACCTGTCCTTCACTCCATTCTGTAGATGACAAGATTTGGATATGGTTACAGGAGGGTATTTTGGTCATTTTGAAAAAAAAAAAGAAAAATTTTATTTACCTTTATGGTAAAGTTTGACTAGTAGTTCTTGCACTCCTGGATCATCAAATATGACATTGACTGTTTGGTGTACAGCTTCCTGAATCGGTCAAAGAAAGTCAACATACAAGACTTTTCCACATATGTTTAAAGCACATGCACAACATACCTTTGCAACCTCCAGAAACCCCTTACAGGTGTCCTCAAAATTAATCTGTTGCAAAAGATTTAAATTTTAAATACAAAATAAATAATGATTTTGTAATTTTTATCTTTATATAAAAAGGAATAACCTGTTCTGCATAATTTTCTGTTAGGGCTTCAATAGTGCTAGAAGCAAGCTCCATAGCAAGATCATAGCATCTCAGGTTGTTATTAATCTGTCATTTAAAAAAAAAAATTAAAAAAAATCAATTTTTTAAAAAACTTGGAAAGTAGAAAATTGCAAACCATGGCACATATTGGTTCTAGACCAATTTCAGAAGCAGGTTCTTCCAATCTCTTTTTTTCAGCTGCTTGAAAATCAATCATCACCTAAAAATTAAAATTCAGTTTTCAATAAATCAAGATAACATAATAAAATTTACTTCTAAAATGTTTATTTATTTTTGTACCTGAATGATGGACAAAGAGATTCTGTATAACATAATTTCTGTACTATTTTCTCTAACAATTTGCACTTGTTCTCCAAGAATTCTAAATAAATCAACAGCAGCTGGTGTATAAAGTTTTCCCTCATCTGTTGATTTTGGAGGCTGGACTTTATCAGCTTCAAGAATATTCAAATACCATTTCTATAAACCAAAAAAAAAAAGTATCAGGAATATCAAATTAAATAAAAAAAGATTTAAAATTTCCAACTTTACCCTTGTGGTTGCTTGCATTCTCTCAACATATGAATCCATAAGTGGATCCATTGCACCACTCTCTGAACAAACTTGAGCTAATGTCTCATCAACTCCAAGTGCAACTAAATTATCTTGATACTCAACCACCCATCCAGTTACCTATTTATTTTTTTTAGTAAAAAAAATTAATATTTTAATATTTGAAAACCTAAATTCATAAGAATAACACCTTTAAGATTTCAATATTTGTAATCTCATTAGCACGATCACTCAGTAGTCTTAGCCATTGAATAAACCTCTCTGTGTATAAATTCACCATCAGCTGGAATATTTCATATCTGCAATAATAATACTTCAAATTATAAAATAGATAAAAAAAATATATCTAGATATGTAAATATAAAATTTGAATAAAAAACCTTGGAGGAAAACAAGGAGCCACATGATCATATATATCTCCAAGCTCTTCCCCAATCTAAAAGTAATTTACAAATGAATGTTGAAATTTGTTAATTGTAATCCACATATTTAATTAAAATAATGTAAAAATAAAATGTGCATACCTTTTTTGCCTCCTCTATGGCACCTTTCAGGTTTTCAAAGACAAGCTGTTTCAAAAAAAAAAAATACTGAAATCAAATTGATAATTAGCAATAATGTAATTTTATAAAATTAACAGAGTATTTGATTAAGTACTTCTGATAAAAGTTTACTGAATCTTGTTTCAACAGCTTTTGTGATATGCTCATAACATTTATCCTTGTAACATTTCCCCTGTTTTGCCTTTTGAGCTGCAAGGTTTCTAGAAGATGCTAATGCATCTGTAGATTTTCTGCATATGAAAACAGTTTTTTTTTTTTTTTTTGTTGCGATTAAATTATAACCCTAATTGAAGATTAGGTTAAAAATGTGTAAATTGTAAAAGTTAATTACTAATTTATTATACATACTTGCCAGCTCTACGAGGATTTGCTACAGATGCCATTGCACCACCTCCTTCAGCTTCAGCTGCTTCTTCAGCCACTTGTTCATCAAGAATCTCTTGCATTTCAACAACCCTAAAAGTTTATAAAAAAGTTAATATAAAAGTTTTAAAGGAGTTGATTTATATAAAGTTATAAACTTACCTCAAAGCACGTACAAGTGTTTGTGGGCTTTCTTTAGCAAGTTGGAAAAAGTTAGAAATATGTGACCATAAAGTCTGCTCAAATATCTCCCAAGTTCTATCAACTTCTTCAAAATATTCTCTGAAATTTCATATCAAGAAAATGTTAAACCCTAAAAATTATTTATAAATTAAGGAGTTTAAATTTGATCTTGACCTTAGTCTTCCAACTTCCTCTTCATGAGTTGATGCAGCAGCTAATGCAAATCTCCTCTTTCCATCAAGAGATGTTAATCTCTGTAAAGATTCACATTTGAACAATCAAGATTCATGTTTGGGAAGATTTTGTTTACCATTTTGCCCTTGTGTTACCTCATATGTGTTGATGAGCTCCTTATCATCACTTAAAGAATCATGTGCTGCTGCAGCTTCTGAAGAAATTGACATCATCCCTTCTACATCCTAATTGTAAATTTTATTTATTTATAAGAAAAGGAAAAGAAAGAATAAGAGAAACAAAATGATGAGCTGTTTTGGTTGCATACCTTCAATGTTGTGTTTAAGTTATTTCGTGCATTGCTAAGAAGCTTAATCTGATCATGATTCTCAATTAATGTTTGGCATTCTTGACATAGCCTGAAAAAGTTAAACAACATAAATTGTAATCAGTGTTAAAGCCAAATTTTATACAAATTTTATAAAAGTGACTTCATGTGCAATCAAATATTAAATGTACCTCTCAATATTAACAAAATTTTGGCGGAGTTGATTTACATTCTTCTCAGATGAAGCAAGTGCTTTTAATCCAGCTTGTGCTTGTTCAACCTGTTCAGCAACCATAGTGCTAAGTTGTGCATCAGTTGCCTGAAATAAATGAAAGGAAAAAAAAAGTATGTGAGAGATAGTATACACAATAACAATTGAACATAAGACTAATTTGCAGAAGCATAAATCTATAGCAACCAGTAAAATTACTGAAAGTAAAAAAATAAAAGATGAGTTTGATACTCTTTCTTTCTTCAAGTGATGAGTATATTGGAAATTTACAGAAGAAAGCATTCAAATGAACCTGTTGGCGTGCAATGTAATCTGCCTTGATTGAAGAAATGGACAGCAGAAGTTCAGGAAGTGGCAAGAGCTTTGCAACCTCACGAACTGCAGATTCCTTAGCTTCGATTCCTAGATCTTCGACCATCATCTTGCCTGTAATGATAAAGACATCGAAAAATTCAGCATGTCTGTGTGAATTTAGGGCACATTTTGTACAAGGGAAATGGAATTGCAGCAGAGAATGGATATGTAGAGAAAGAGAATTTGGTACGACACAGAATTCGCCAGACGAATATTCAAGTGCAATCGATTCTAAAAAAAAGAACAAATTACTTCCTGATTCTTATTTGGCTGCCAAAATCCACGAGTAAATAAAGAATGGGGCTTAATCGATGAGTTTTACTAACCTTAATCAGAGTGTATGCCAAAATCGCCTGTCGTGAACCAGAAATTGGTCTGCGCAGAAGCAGTAATCGCCAAAGTCGGTGAGTATGCAGCAAAAATCGTTGATAGATCTCGAGGTGAGAGGAACAAGTTTCGCCGAGAGAGATGGAAGCAAGGTTCGAACGCAGAACTTTTGTGAACGGAAAGAGACGCTGCCTTCGAAAAACTAATTTCTTAAATAAGGAAAATTCTAGAGATCTCTAGCGTACCCGATAAACTGGATCACGATAGAAAGATAATCGTCTGTATTTTCTCTTGAATCCGGCAAAATTAAAGTTCATCAGATCTCTCTATAGTGTCTGATAAATTTACATTTACAGAGATTTAAAATCCGATTTTATTTTCAAAATTGGGGGACAATTGTAGTAGAGATTGCAATCGTTGGAGATTACCGATAACGACGAACTTACTTTTCGGAGGTGCATAAATATGAATTGCTACAGGATGTGATATTGAGACAGTGGTGGCGCCTCCTACGATGGCTGTGGCTGATGAGTTATACCGGCGACGAAGAAATTTAAGCTGCGTGTGCCGTGGGCGGTGGTCTGCGAATGTTCCAGACCGGCTGAAAGAAGCGAACGTAATAGCTGTCGTTCCTGTTGAGTTTTGACCGAGTTGATCACACCAAACTCCCTTTTCGTCCTCTTTTACTTTTGTTTTCAATTTTCTAATTTTGTAACAAGCAATTTTACAAAGGACGAAAGGTACAAAACAATATTCATCTTACATATGATGGGAATATGATGTGATAAAATATAGAAAGATTAATCTATAATAGCGAAGTATTTTTGTATTCATTATTTGGATTAAATCGATAACTCATATTCTCAATACATAACAAATAATGTAGGAAGCTCCTAGGGACCCGAACTGCATACTCGCCCAAATAAAATGAGGAGGCGTGATGTCCCCTCCCCTCAATACCCAAAAGACGACCATCTTACCTTACTACACTCACAAAAGGTGAGCCACTCACAACTTTCATATAGACGTCCACCAACGACTATAAATACCAAGGTTGTAAAAAATGTTCGACGTCAGCTAGTCAGTGGACTGAGGTTAAGGGATTAATCGATTATATGGGGATTAATCGGGGACCATAAATTGTTAATTCATTGATTTTTAAAAAAATAAATATGACTAATATCACAACAAATTTCATAAATATCATTAATATCATAATAAATGTAACAACTAGTTTCCAGAACGAATCAGTTTAGGGCTTCAAGAAGTCAAATGCATGGTTTTTTGGTGGAACCAGGCTTCACGGTGTGACCATAGAGAATTCACGGTGTGACAAGTGATTAAATGAAAAATGTTGATTTAACTAAGCTCACGACGTGAGCCATATGAGCTCACGACGTAGGACGCGCTGCAGCCCAAGCCCATGATCTTTTAGGGTTTCCTTCGTATTTAAACCTCATAAACCTCATTTTATGGTTCATTTGCAGCCTCTTTCATCCTCAAGCACAGAAAAAACCCTAATCCTAGCTTTCTCCTTGTGATTCAAGAGCTTTTGGTGGTGTTTAGTGGCTTGAAGAAGAAGAGATCACCATTGGAGCATAGATCCAACTTGGAAGCTTCATTTTGCATCTTCTAGCAACTTCTCTGGACCATTGTGGGTAACCAAGATTCAAGCTTTATGATTCATTGTTGCTAGATCTAAGGTTTTATGCATGATTATCCACGATTATAAGTATTAGAGTGAGGGGACTCCATAAAGTTAGCAACTTTATGGGTCCTTCAAGTCCCTTGGTGATTATATGTGATGGATCTGAAGTTTTTAGAGTTTACTCTTTTAGTCACTTAACTTTTTAAGGGAACAAATTTGGTTTTGTCGGGTCCAATATGTCCTTTTTTGAGAAAACGAAGGGGTAATTAAAAAAACTAAAAGGTCCCACAACATCTCTCTCTCTCTCTAACATCTCTCTCTCGACCTCAACACCACTTTCTCTAACTTCTATATCTCTCCCTTACCCTCCTCTTATTTTCTCAACTTAAATCAACCTTGCTCCACCATTTCCATCACCTTCTTCCTCACTGGAAACCACCATCGTCCGTCATAGAACCACCGCAGCCCCACCCCACACAACCCTGATATATTCACCTTCTTTCTTATTCGATCACCGCTGGATTGGGAAGGCGAAAGTAGTGGAGTTGTTGTGCTACCACCACTCGTTGCCGATGTTGTGGTGGGTGGTACCCATCATCACCGGTGATATTCACCACCCATCACTCCTGCTATTCTTGGCTCTAACAGGTGACGACGAGAAGAGAGTAATGACGATGAGGAGCTCGCCGGAGGAGACCCGTAGAACTACTCTTCTTAATTTTCGACCTAAACACCTCCAAAACAGATAAACAACGGAATAAGGAACTATATATATATATATATATATATATATATATATATATATATATATATATATATATGTTTAGGATCGAACCTATCATCGGGACCCTCCCGTCGACACTGTTCATGTCACCGGCCACCATGGCAGGTGTTGACTGTTCTTGGAGATTTTTGAATGAGTTCTGAACAGAAAAGAAAAGGGGTTACCTAAGATTGATGAAGGAGTAAGGAAAATTGATTGGAAGCTGCTTGAAGGTCGAAAGAGATTAAGACAGGAGGGAAAATGGTGATTCTCGCTTGTTCTTCTTCTCCGGTGAACAGTGTCGACGGTCCTGTTTGCGGTCGGAGGCTTGCTTCAACTGGCCATGGCAGTGGTTTGGTGGTGATTGGATCAGTCTTCCATCAAAATAGAAGAAAGACGAGAGGATGAGCTGAAGAAGGCAACAACTTTGGTTGTTGTTGGATTTTTCTGGTGATCAGGAGGAACACGAGAGAGAGAGAGAGAGTGTGTGTGTGTGTGTGAGGGGTGGGACCCAAGTTTTGTCTACGTGTCCCCTAAACCGACTAAAACAAGTAAAGAGGACTAAAAGGACAGGTTGCCCACAACTTGGTTCCCTCATAAAGCCACGAAAAAACTTAAGTGACTAAAATGGTCAAGCCTAAACAATTTGTAGGCTATATGTGTCATTTTCCCTTTTCTTCATGAATGCTCTAATTTGATCTCAAGTCTTGCATTGGACATGCAAGACCTTAAAGCATCGGTTTTTATGGTCTTTGGGGCATTAGGAAGCCTTTTAGAGAATAAGGATTAGTAGCTTAATGGATTAAGGAGCTTATTCATCAAAAATGTCATTCAGACAGATCTCACGACGTGAGGATATGTCTGTCACGTTGTGAGGATCAAGTAGTTTCAATTATTTTTGTCCTTTAGTAGCTCACGATGTGAGCATTAGATGGTCACGTTGTGAGGGGCAGTTGACAGTTGACTTTCGTTGACCATTGACTTTTTGACCAGTTTGACTTTGGGTCAAACTTGAAGAATTTGGGTTGTTGATTAAGATTCTTCCATGTTTTGTTGCTAGAGGGATCGTGGGAGCAATCGGTGCAGAAAGGGAAGTGTGTCGCAGTGTTTCTGAGTTCCTCGTTTCAGGTGAGTTTTCCTCACTGTACCCGTGGGTCGAAGGCACCAATGTCGACCCACTAGTTTTGGTTATCATTTAGTAGAGGGATGCCCTAGGGCCTACATTTAGCCATGTAGGATAGACTGAGAACTCTTGATCTTGGATTTATTTCATGTTCTTTGTTTGGCTGTGGCTCTAGAGTATGATCATTTGTTCGGGTGTCTGTCTTAAATCTGGATACATATGGCTATGCATTCCTTAGAGATTTGGTTATGTGTTCTCGTGTATAGGATGTTCTTGTGCTATAGTGGGTTATTATATATATATATATATATATATATATATATATATATATATATATATATATATATATATATATACTTGTGTGTTAGGATGCCTCGGTAGTGGTAAGCTGGTTAGAGTACCAGTAGGCTGGTTATCGTCTAGTGGAATTCCCTAAGGGTTGTATGTAGCCATGTAGGATAGTCTGAGAACTCTTGATCTAGGCTTTCTTGCATGTTAATCGTTTGGTTGTGGCTTTAGAGTATGATCATCTGTTCGGGTGGCTATCTCACCTCTGGTTCTTATGGTTATGCATTCCATGGAGAGTTATCGGTAACGAACCAGTGTGTTGTGGAGGATCTATTAGCTAGTAGTGAGTTGCATGTTTGGTAGTTTCCTGTATTTATGTGCCTACTTGATCTCTTGTTTTTTTATATGTCGACATATTGTGGCGATTGAGGTTGAGGCGGTCCTGCTGTGTGTTGTGGGCCAAGAGACCAGGTGCGGTCGGTTGTAAGTCGTAGGCACGGAGGCTCGGGAAGAGCGGTTCGGTTGAGGCAATATTGTTATGTGTGATATCTAACAACCCTGGGAGCAATCCAAACATAAGTTGTAGGCTCGGGAGCAATCCAGACTTATGATATGGGTTCGGGAGCAATCCAGACATAAGTTGTGGGCCGGAGGGGCAATCCAGACTTATGTTGTGGGCTCAGGGGGTGTAACACCCCAAAAATCATGATATAAAAAAAAATTGTTGTTAGGTTTATAGATCGTTAATACATGTCTTTCCCATAAAAACTAGGGTAATTAAGTTTTAAGAAAACATTGACCAATCAAAGTAATTCACAGAAAACAGAAACATGTGGTGTGTGCTCTGTAATCAACCCGAACCCTTCCATTTGAAAACCAGAGTATCAGAAACAATAAACTGAAAACCGTAAGCACAAAGCTTAGTGAGTTCCCCAGAATACCACATAGCATACAACCACAAAATATGATGGGTTTTGAGCATAACATCATTCCTATGGTGTGCATGCAGCCCTAATGCTTTGGATCTAGGTTTTCCTCAAGTTACACATGCAAACAATCTTCCAAAGCATAAACCCTAATCTAACATGTCTAAGAACGAAATTCATATGTAAATAAGGGTTTGGAATCTTACCTTACTTGTTATGTAGCAATAACAAGAACACCTTGAATATCCTTGACCTCTGAAAGCTTAGTGCCCCAAGTGTTGCACCTCTAATGGAGTCACAAACACTCAATGCAAAGGATGAAGTAGAAGAGAGAAGATTTCGACCACTCTAGGGTTTCTTAAGCCTTGTACGAAAATCCCTTAGTTATGGGGTCTATTTATACTTGTGGCTGCTAGGGTTTTAGGTGGAAACCCTAATATGACTGCTTAAGCCTTAAGCAGCCCCATGGACCACTTCTAGAATACACCTTGGACGAATTCTTTATGGGCCTCCCATAGAATTCGTCCAACCTTATTCCAAGGTGATCCATCAGCCCAATTGCAACTATTAGTGATTTGCAATATCAATCCCCAATTATCTAATCATTCTCTTTTGACCACTAAATTAATACCAAATTAATTTTTTATCAATACTAATTAAATAATATGATTTCCAAATAATATATTAATATTGTAATATATTAATAAAACCATTTTGAGTACGAATTTTATTATTCACATAATAAATTCTACTCTATCTCCTCTTGTCGTCCTGTCAAGTTGCATGAGTGAATGCAACCCAAAAGGACCATGCTCATAATCGGGTCAAGTACATACCAAAATAGTTATGGGCTTAGACACCTAATCCAACAGTCTCCCACTTGGATAAGTCTAATAACTATTTTGCAAGTACGACTTCAGAACCTGATTAGCAATCGTAGCTTTCAAAAGCCGTTGTCAACTATGATCTTATTAGAAGCACGTCTTTTAGATAAGGGATCATATATTCCTCTATTCTACAAGATATGGTATGAACTGAGACATGGTTTTTAATCATTCTCTCTATTCATGTGTTGTTTCCCGATTTCCGATTTATGACGACTGACTAATTGAACAGATCAAATCAGTCTAGGCTTGGCCAAGCGCTTTGGGTGTCATCAATAAATCATAGAGGGGCCCACAAATATCACTTTTATCTAACTTTGGGTAAAAGTAATTGATAAACTTCAACTCATATGCTTGCTCTATCTACTCATCAAATCACACACAACAATATGTTTTATAACACCAAGTTACTGGTGCGTTTACGCACTATCAATGCGCAACCGACTTGTAGACTGCAACTCATATCTCTTGGTTTCAAGAATATAAGATATTATCGTCTCACTAATCAGTCGTGATAAAATCCATGAAGTGATTCAAGTGAGCATGGGTTTAATCCAATACTCTAATCTTATTACAGAAGTAGTCATGAACTCTGCAACAAACTTGTGCTATGTCTAAACACTTTAGACAATCTACAGATGGATTCATGACAGTCTTGCCTCAATACCTACTTCCAACGTATGATCGACTATGGATGTTCGAATAACCTAGTTATTCTGGAAGTCAAAAACATGCAAAGTGAAACACAAGAATAATCGAATCCAATATGATCTCAAGCTTTTGAGTATAAATAAAACACTTATTACTTAATCACCATATCGATTACACATTATTCATTGTATAATGTTTCGGTTAATCAACTTAACACTTGAATTATAACAATAGTTATCCTATGCTCCAAGCATGCACACTATGTTTACCTATGGTCCTTACTTTGTGAAATAAATCAATTGAACACAATACCAACGATGCTCATTTCACAACTCCTAATCCTTATTATAAGTGTAAGAATACCAAATTCTTGCCACCATTAGAATGTATTAGATTCTAACATTTTACGCAATGATCCTTTTGTAAAGTCACAACACCAAAGTCACCAAGACTTAGCCAATGAAATTACAAAGTGATTTATTGGAGATTGTTACAAGACAATTCCACGAGACATGAAGTCTCACATTCAAAGTACATTCCTTTGAACATCCTTTTGCATAAAAGTTTCTAATCTACACAGATTCTTAATATCCAACTCCCATTACGGAAACATTTCAATATTTTCCATATGACAACACATTCTAAATAGAATCCTATCTATTCATAATAATGTCAATATCTTCCATTAAATACTTTACTTCCAACTGCTCACAAGCGACCAATCCTTATCGAACCTCAAATTTTCCTTGACAGTTGTTTAATTAGTTTATTCATTTCTGGTTCTGGTCCTTTTTCCCTCTTAATGCC